AGAGAGCCAGAGTTATTTGTAACCACTGCAACATTGCATTTTCTTATCACTGGACTCTAAGGGTAACTTGTTCTTCTATAGCTAACTATATGACAAAAAGCTAATGCACTAGCAATTTTGAAGACGATGACTACAGACTTGTGATGCCACAATATTAAGGATACACAGGGCACTCCAACATCTAGGAAAACCAAAAAACACTGTAATAGTAAATATATTGATAGTTATATTATTTATAAACAAGCATTATACAAGCGCCGCTAGTGTAGTGGTATCATACAAGATTCCCATTCTTGTGACCCGTGTTCGATTCCCGGTTGGTGCATGCAATGCCTCTAAGTTTTGATATCTGAGTAGCAGCAAAACTGAGGGCTGATTCTAGGCAGCCCTAACTATGAGCTTAATCAAAAAGCTGAGTCTCAATCCTAGTCTTAAAAATTGATAAGGTGTATTTAGCCCGAGCACACAGATGAGAATAAACCCAAGTCCAACATGACTTCTCTGTATCTAAAAAACAATTGTTTTTTATGTAAACATAATTTACGAGAAAGAAAAGGATATCTTCCCTTTATAAAGTATTAGTCAACTGTTAAGTGCATCTGTAAATAATACTCATGTAGAAACATCGAACCTGGTGATCTGGTGATATCCTTTATGTAATATATTAATGTCGATATATAAAAACCTTGATATGTGGAAGGACGAGTAGGACGGATTCTTTGCCAAATTAGTGCAAAATTATAAAATGTTATGATTAAATGTCTGTGAACACATGAACATATGATGTAAAACAAACCCTGTAATCATTTTGAAACTGCAAGACGGTGTTGGGTGGGGGGCTTGTGGATTGGGCAAAGGCTCTCTTGTCCTTATAGATTTTTCTGTAGTTACATTTTTATTATTTGCCTTTGAAGATGAAAAAAAAAAGAAAAAAAGTATTATTATTGTTAGATTTGTTTCTGTTTTCTGGGGTGAAAAAGCATGTTGTTGTTTTTATGCATGTCACTAATGTATGACCGAAACTGTATTGTTTAATTACGATTTGAGGGAAACATATGTTTTTGTTTTTGACATCATACATGTTTATAATCAGTCCGTGGCAACCAAAAGCTGTGTTGTCTTTTCCATAGAGCCATAACTTATTATATAATGTGATTATTAAAAGCCAAACCAGATTTTTCTAAACAATTAGATAAGATAAGATACTAGAGGTACTTTATTGATTCCAATTTGGGAAATGTTTGCATTGCAGAAGCATAAAACAAAACAAGGCATTGCACGTAAGTAGAAATTAAAGAGCAGAAATAAACAATTCTAGAATTTAAACATCTCAAAATTAAATTAAAACAGCAGTTAGAAGTAGAAAACATACAGTAGACTGTGAACATAAAAACATCTATAAACTCTGACAATAAAACACTATTGAAGAGCTTTATACTTAATAACACCCTATCTCTGTTTCTTATCTATATCTAATAGAACTGCTCGGGTCTTAATAGATTGAGTGGGGAAGTTCATGAGATCTTTCTAGAGGGTTATCAAGAATAACTTTTATCCAATGACCTTTTCCCTCTCTGTCTGTGTCTGTGTATTCTCTTGTTCCGATTAACCCAGCCACATCTTTGTTCTTGTTTTGTATCTATATCTACGCCGGGATCCGGAGTCGAGGCCGATCCTCTTGCGGTAGTCCTGTGTCTTGGATCCTCTATCCTGGGTTCTGGATTAAGTCGTGGACTTCGGGACGTGGCTGAACCTGTCTCTGCGGTCCTGCCTTGGGTCTCGTCATGCTGCTTCCCTGATGGCTTCCACAGGATTGTAGCTGACATCCTCGTGGATTCATCTTCTTATTACAGACACATGCATTTCCTAACATTCGGTCTATATGCTGTAAAATGTCTCTTCGATTTACATACGGCATCTATTGCACGTCTGTCCGTCCTGGGAGAGGGATCCCTCCTCTGTTGCTCTCCCTGAGGTTTCTCCCATGTTCCCTTTAAACTGTGGGTTTTCTCTGGAAGTTTTTCCTTGTACGATGTGAGGGTCTAAGAACAGAGGGTCTAAGGACAGAGGGTCTGAGGACAGAGGGTCTAAGGACAGAGGGTCTAAGGACAGAGGGTGTCGTTTTTCTCATACTGATATTCTGAACAATCTGTGCTGTTGTATTTGCTGTAAAGTGTCTCTACTGTAGGCTATTTTTATTAGCTGTACAGCACTTTGGCTCGACCAAAAATCGTTTATAAATGTGCTATATAAATACAACTTAATTTGATTTGATTTGATAATATAAAGCAGGATATTATTTACATTATGTGTGTAGGGAATGGAATATTAAATTAAATATAAAATCAGAAAATAGTTTACCTTGAAAAGGAATTGCTGTTTGGTTTAATAGGAAACATAATTGATGTTGAAGTGAAGGAAGTAGAATAGGAAATTGTTGCCCCTAAAATATCTGAAATAAAAATAAAAATCAAGTTAATAATGTTTGCTTTTCTCTTTTTCTGTCACCTGTAGTATTTCAGCTCCAAAACACAACCACTAAGTCATTTAAACCCTCTGACATTTCTTGGTATTTGTAGTGTTTGCAGCAGAAAGGATTATGGGAGTTGAAGAGTTGGTGGTGTCTCAACCATTTGAGAAAGAAAGGCCTTGTTGCTCTTGTAGTTCCTCCTCCACTCCCTCTTGGTGACGGGCCACTGAGAGGTGGAGCTACACTGAAATAGGAGAGCTTCAACTTCCCAGAAATGAAAGTGAAAGTTTGTCTGAGCGACACAACAGCTGCACGTCTCTCTATTTCTCTCTAAAGAAACACTCGACTGAATCCAGCAGCTTTTCTCGACAACACAGCAGAATCTCTGCCAAAAACTGGTGAGTAAACTCCAGAGACAATCACTAACTAAATATTTGAACAAGTATATTTGATTTTAGTTTGATCAGAATCTGAGTTTGGTACGTCTGTTCAGACATATACCGAATATATGCCTCCCTCAGACAATTTAAAGGTCCCATGTCATGCTTTTCTGGTTATTACCCGTCCCCTTGTGTGTTATGAAGGTTTTTATGCATGTAAACGGTCTGCAGAGTCAAAACCCTCAAAGTACACCCTGTACACAGAAAATACCTCCTCAAAACGCCTCTTTGCAGATACGTCATTGTCAATTTGATTCTTCCGGGTACGCATGATGTCAACCGTACCCGGAAATGGACCAATCCGTGGAGCCGTTACGTTACCTCCGCGGAGCCGTTACGTTAAGCCTCCGCTGATTGGTCCAAATTGACCAATCCACGGACTTCCTCACACACACACTCAGTGCAAGCAGCTCTGCTGATTTCGCCTCCCTGGCTGCAGGCTGATAACAGACAGTTGGGATCGCGGAGTTGAGTAAAGTTAGAACGATATTGGCAGATTCGGATTTCACGGATCAATAACTCATGAACAAAACGTTATTCAGACACAAATGACGTCTCCTATCTACCGTGGTAAGGTTGACAACAAACTACAATCACATGAAGCCAATAAAAAAAAGCCAATATGCGCCGTCCTCCGAGCTGGACACATTACATTGGTCTCTTTCAGCAGCCGGAGAAGAAACAAGTGCTCAGGGACCGTCTGCAAAGTGCAACTCCGAAAAAAGAAAATACAATAATCTTCAATAACGTCACTATTATACAGTATATTTCTACCAAACTCACTACACACATCAATAGTCTCCTGGTGGTCAGACTACAGCAGAGAGTTTGGAAGAATGTGCTGTTGAATAATTTTGGTGAATATTTATAGTGTAAAATCTTCAATAAATATGGTATAATCTTCAATAGCGTCACTATTATACAGTATATTTCTACCAAACTCACTACACTCATCAATAGTCTCCTGGTGGTTCGACTACAGCAGAGAGTTTGGAAGAATATGGTTTGGAATAATTTTGGGGAAGATTTATAATGTATTATAACATACTGTATATACAATGTTACACATTGTATATAGGCTACAGTATGTTATATATAAATTAAGACATGAAACAACTTTTTCATTAGCTATGAAACTGTAAAATGGTCACAATCTTATGAAGGACCCAAATGCAGCACTCGAGAAACCAAACCAAGGAGTATTGGTAATTAACTTTATTTGTAATAATACCAGAGCAGAGGGATAACAGAACAGTATCAGCCGGATGATGTGCAGGCAAACGAACCAGAGGACAGCGGGCAGAAGGTGAGTCAGGGCCGGGCAGAGGGTCAGGGAACAGGCGAGGCAGGATAGTCCAAGGACAGGCAGGATCAGGGATCAGGCAGAGCAGGCAGGTCGGGGACAGGCAGGGTCCGAACCGGGTAGGCAATCTAGTAACAAACGTGTGAAAGACTAGCATGAAGGCAAAGTACTATCAGGCAACGGGTGTGTGTCTGGTGAGGGTTTAAATACTGGCAGTGAAGCTAATGGGTGCAGAAGAGAAAGACAGTGAGCAAAAACGTGGGTGTGGTTAACAGGTGAGACAGGTGAATGGAAAACTACTGGTGAATGATGGAACAGACAAAATAAAGTTAACATTGAAAAATAAAACATTTCAGGCTTTTCACCTACTGTACAATATTAATGAACAAATCCACAATCTAATGTCAGACATGGAAAACATCATGAACATCTGTGACTACTTTAATCTGTAATTGAAAATATATTTAACATCTTAATTAAGAATATAACAATTTAAAACTATGGACAGGTGATTATTAATTATTACTTCAGTTGCCCAAAATCTTTAGCAAAACTTTTTTCTGGATTTTTGTTTCTTTTGTACAAAATTCAGCTTTCATTTAGCCGATTCCAAATCACTGGCTGGGCTGGATTTTCCCCCCACATGCCGTTTGTAAGCGGACTACTTCTACTGTGGTAGTAGTTCAAACTACAAGCCTTACCTCCCCAAATCCTGGTACCTCTGGTAAAAGTTACACAAATTCACCTCTAGCCTCTTTAGTTTGTGAGGATACACAAAACACAATACCACGGGGTATTTTCTTTGGGTATTCGTGCAGCAGTCATTCCGAGGCACTGCGTGTGAAACCATCTCCCACAAGTTTCACACTGAATCTACATGGGGACAAATACAACAAAGATATTAAGAAAATGTAAGGAATATTCATTTTATAGAGATTATACTTTTTTTTGTATATACATATATATAAATACTTCTTGTTATTCAGGTTTATCTGTACTGTGCTAAAACTTTAACAAATTATAAGAAAAACAAAAAGGAAACCTGTAATGCATACAAATATACAAAATGTCATTACTTTTATGTTATTCCTGAAATCTAACTCCAGATGATCTATATATTATCTATTATTCAGATTATCTTCTGGAGTTTCAAAACAATTCATCATTTAGTCTCACCCAAACAGCATGAACAGCAGTTGTGGGCAGGTCCTCAATTCCACAGAAGGAACAGAAGTCATCCTTTGAAACTGAAAAAATAACCGGTGTATTACTGTTCAATTTACAGGAAGCCATCCATATATTCATTTCATATTTTTGGCTAATACCTGATCCTCTGAGAATTTCTTCTGCCATGTCTCTTCGTAGATGAAGACATTGTTGTGATGACTTGATGTGAAACGTCTTTGGAATTTTGGGAAATTCCTTCACTGTCATCTTGGCCATCTGGACAGATGGTAAAATAACAAGACGTTATGACGTGTGTTTGAATTTCCCTTTAAAATAAAATGCTTTATTATCAATGAACACAACATGTTGCATTAAATCACCTGCATGACAAAGGCTCCACAACTGGTGGCATCTTTCTGAAAGGTGTGGGTTATCTTTCCAGGCTGCCATTTGATGCTAACCCAGTCCTCTTTTCCCAGTCTATTCCGGCGCATCTTGAAATACTCTCTCGAACAATAGGGAAAAAAAATGTAATTGGCGTTTACCAAATGTGCGTTTAACCAATGTATTTCCTGTAATATATTTTATATTACCCAAATTTGTAACCAGCCTTTCTGGAGTCCTCAACTTCATTTGACCCTTGCAGAGGATCAACCACATAAATGTGGTTTGAAAGGGCATGGAGGTACTGTTTTAAAAAGTAGCATACGGTATAATTAAACCAAACCTTTTTCAATATGTCAGCAGCAACAATAATGTATCAGCTTTTCTTCAAAAATGAAAACCACAGTTAACTAATAAATTCACATTATATAATCACTTCAATTGTTAAACAAAAGCTATTAAAAGTAATTCTAAAATAATAACTTCTCATTTTAAATGGGTATAATTAAGACTTAAAAGTATTGAAATAATTAAAGATGTCAGATCAGATGAAAGAAAGTTGCACAATTTGGGGTCAGAAGACACAAATGTGTAGTGGAGCAGTAGCGACCACCAATGAGAAATGTTTGAATGAGTACTTATTTTGGACTACATTTGATATTGTTTCCCTATGATATAGATGAAGAACATGAAGACATTAAAAGTAAAAGAAGAATTTTTAAATCAATCCTGAGGCAAAGATGCATTTACAAAATGGGGCTGCATGAGATACATTACATTACATTGAGTTTCAACAGTCACATTAAAACTGTTACTAAATCAGCCTACTATCACCTAACGAACATATCTAGGATTAAAAGACTAATGTCACAGCAGGATTTGGAAAAACTTGTCCATGCTTTTATCTTCAGTAGACTGGACTACTGCAATGGTGTCTTTGCAGGTCTCACTAAAAAATCTATTAGGAAGCTGCAGCTGATTCAGAACGCTGCTGCTCGAGTCCTCACTAACACTAAGAAAGTGGATCACATCACTCCTGTTCTGAAGTCTTTACACTGGCTTCCTGTGTGTCAAAGAATAGATTTCTAAATACTGCTGCTGGTTTATAAAGCACTGAATGGTTTAGGCCAAAAATACATTACTGACCTACTGCTAAATGATGAACCATCCAGATCTCTCAGGTCTTCAGGGACTGGTCAGCTTTCTGTCCCCAGAGTCAGAACTAAACATGGAGAAGCAGCGTTCAGTTATTATGCTCCAAATATCTGGAACTCCCAGAAACCTGCAGGTCCGCTGCAACTCTGACTACTTTCAAAGAAGACTGTCAGAAGACTTTCTGAAGACTTTTCTTTTTGTCGCTGCTTTTAATTGAACTATTCATATCTTAGACTGCACTGTAACTTTTATCCATGTATTTTTTCTTTTAATGTTTATTTTATTAGCTTTTCTTTTTAATGACTGATTTTAAATGCCATTTTCTTAATGTTTTTCATTTTTTGTAAAGCACTTTGAATTGCCTTGTGTTGAAAAGTGCTATATAAATAAACTTGCCTTGCATTGCATTTAGCTGACGCTTTTATCCAAAGCGACTTACAATAAGTGCGTTCGACCAACAAAATACAAACTTGAAGAAAACAGAATCATAAAGTACATCAGGTTTCATAGAGCAAAAACATTTCAAGTGCTACTCAACTGGCTTTAGATAAGTGCGGACTGGTGCGGATCCAGAAGGTTGTTCTGATGGAGATAACAGGAGAGTTGTTTAAAGACAGCGCGTTCAAGTGATTTAGACAGGAACGGGAGGAGAGAGACAGGCCTGTAGTTTATAACATCAGACGGGTTGAGAGTGGGTTTCTTTAGGAGAGGGTTTACTCTTGCCTCCTTGAGACTGTTTGGAAAGTGACCAGAAGTTAGAGAAGTGTTGATGAAATGGGTGAGAAACGGTAGAATATCAGGAGCGATAGTCTGAAGGAGGTTTGAAGGGATAGGGTCCAGAGGACAGGTGGTAGGGCGGGCAGAGGTAATGAGGGTGAGAACCTCACTTGGAGAGAGAGGGGAAAAGGAGGTTAGTGTGTGGGTGAAAGGAGGGTCTGGTGACCCAGCGGTGAGTAAAGGTGAGTCAGAAAAAGAAGAGCGAATATCATCAACCTTTTTTTCAAAGTAGTTAACAAAGTCGCTTGACAGAAGGGAGGAGGAGGGAGGGGCTTTGGGAGGGTCCAAGAGGGTGGAGAAGATGGAAAATAGTTGTTTGGGATTGGAATATGAAGATATTATATATATATATATATGGATCTTATCTTGAAAGAAAGTGCTTTTTGCCTGAGAGATCGAAGCAGAGAAAGAGGAGAGGAGAGCCTGATAGGTTAGGAGGTCGTCAGAGTGTTTGGATTTCCACCGTTTCCGCTCAGCTGCCCGAAGGACGGTTCTATTAGCACGCAGTGCGTCATTTAGCCAGGGAGCAGGAGGGGACTGACGAGCCTGCCGAGATGTGAGAGGACAGAGAGAGTCCAGAGAGGATGAGAGAGTAGAGAGGAGAGTTTCTGCAGCAGAGTTTGGAGGTAGGAGTTGGAACGAGGAAGGGAGGAAGGGAGGGCTGAGAGCACCGACGAGGCAAAGCTAGAGGGGGAGAGGGAGCGAAGGTTACGGCGGAGAGGTGCAGGATGAGAAGAGATTAGTTTGTTATGTTTGGAAAAGGATAGAGAGAATGAAATGAAGAAGTGATCGGATGTGTGGAGCGGGTTTACAGAGAGGTTAGAAGTAGTGCAGTTCCTTGAGAATATGAGATCAAGGACATTGCCAGCTTTATGAGTTGGTGGGGATGGAGACAGTGAGAAAGCAAAGGCGGTTAACAGAGATGTTAGTTCGTCTATCTTCCCTGTCTGGAGGTTGAAGTCTCCGAGAAGTACAGCGGGAGGGCCAGTTTCAGGGATGAGTGAGAGGAGATTATCTAATTCCTCCAAGAAGTCCCCCAAGGCGCCTGGTGGACGGTAGAGAACAACAATGGTTAACTGTATAGGATGGGTTACTGTGACGGCATGGAACTCAAAGGTGGAAGGAGTGAAGTTAGGTAGCTTGAAGAGGGAAAAGCTCCATTTGGGAGAGAGCAGGGGACCAGTGCCACCTCCTCTGCCAGTGGGTCTGGGTGTATGGGAGAAGGAATATCCAGTGGAGAGAGCTGCTGGGGTGGATGTGTTGGATGGAGTAATCCAGGTCTCAGTGAGAGCAAGGAAATCCAGAGACTGCAGGGAGGCGTAGCCAGAGATGAAGTCAGCCTTAGGAACAGCTGACTGGCAGTTCCACAGGCCACCTGAAACTAGATGTTGGATCTCAGTGGAGCATGTAGGATAGATGAGAGCAGGCCGGTTATAGCGATTACGAGATACACAGGGCCAGTGATAATTGCGAGAAGACACATGAACAGGAATGGAGAAAATACACATGATTATAGCATGAGGGGCTAAACAACCAAATAAAATAAAACACCAGCGATACTTAGCTCAATCAAAGTCCAGCAGGACTCTATTTTCTTCGTCTGTCTGACGTTCCAGGAAAGTGCTACCTAAAATGGACACCTGATTGCTGAGTTCTCACAGCTGTGGGGCCACGTCCCTTTAATTAGTTAACTCTCTGCAGCTGGTGGCCCTCAAAAGGAAATCTAGACTGGCTTCCTCCTGAGTTGTTATTGTGTCTTTTCAGTGGCCCAATGGTTTTACATGTACATTAAACCCTAAGTTATAAAGTTATGAGTTTAACCCTTAATACAGTTACACCTACTCAATGAAGCTCTTAGTATTCTACAAATGTTTAAATCAAAGTTAACCCTAGCAGTCAGTTAGTTCAGTTTTAAGGTTTCAGTCAAATTACTTGTCCCAAGTTTCTGCCTGACAGATACTGTAGCGGTTTTGAGATTTAAAATCACAATTTCAGTCAGATCAACTACAGAACATTTATACAGAGTACACACACTGAAACAGAGAAGTCTAAAAACAGAATGTTATTCACACAATTCTAGAAGTCACCAGTTGTTATCCTGTCAAAATCGAGTTGCACATTTTAGTCTTAAATCTGTCACAGTATATGAGTAATGTATTGCAATATGTTTTAATAGCAATGTATATTTAGTTGTATGCATTTGAATAAATGTAATCATACATCTTCAAAGTAATAGTTGATGAACTTGAAATGTGCAAACCCTAAAAGCAGCTACAGTATGACTACACGAGTAGCTGTATACTCACCACAAACTTACAGTGCACATTTCTTATATTGAAGATTTTACACTATAAATATTCACCAAAATTATTCAAAAGCACATTCTTCCAAACTCTCTGCTGTAGTCCGACCACCAGGAGACTATTGATGTGTGTAGTGAGTTTGGTAGAAATATACTGTATAATAGTGACGCTATTGAATATTTTTGAATATTATTGTATTCTCTTTTTTCGGAGTTGCACTTTGCAGACGGTCCCTGAGCACTCGTTTCTTTTCCGGCTGCAGATAGAGACTAATGTAATGTGTCCAGTTTGGAGGACGGCACGTATTGGCTTTTTTTGATCAAAATGTGATTGTAGTTCGTTGTCAACCTTACCACTGTACTTAGGAGACGTACTTTGTGTCTGCACAACGTTTTGTTCATGAGTTATTGATCCGTGAAATCTGAATCTGCCAATATCGTTCCAACTTTACTGAACTGGATCGCGGCGAAATTCTCTCTGCAGACCCATTCTCACAGCGTTTATCAACCTTTTTCTTACTCAATATCAAGCCACACTTATTGTTTTTACTTCGGCTGTGACTTTGTGTGTGCTCAGGATGAGTTTCGCTGTGTATCGCTAAACAAGGAAACCACACCTCCACGGCGCTCAGCGCGATTCACAACGTCCCGACCAATCAGAGCACACTGTGCTCACAGGGAGGGTGGGGGCTGGAGCTATTGGAGCTACAACGAGCCGTTAAAGGCAGAGAGTGAAATTCAGTGAATACACGTTGTTTACAGAGATGCTCTGAGAAACCAATGTGAGTTTGGAAAATTGCACAATATAAATCTATTCTAGTAGACCTCAACAATGGAATTATAATCAGTGGAAATGGCCATGACATGGGACCTTTAAAACCAAAATACATTACATTATATAGTAATACATGTCTTAAGTTCAATATTAAAAGTACTCAGGCTGCTTTAAATACCGTTTTCCCTCTAATAACAATATAAGCAGCTATGTCATATGAGCAGTGTAGCCGTATTATAATATTGATTAATGTGTAATGTGACGGTCATGGAGGGATCATTGGGTTGTAATGGTTTTCCATTTTACTTTATTATGATTTTACATATTAAAGTGCTGATATAAACAATGAACAGAGGCCTTTAGATTTAATGACTGCAACAATATAAAATATTAGTTTATCGTTGTTTTAGGAAATATTTATATTTTTTTCAAATAACTAACAAGCAGCTAAATGCTACAGCTAGAACAGTGACTGGCAGCAGGCAGTGAGAGGCAGCCTCAATCAATTATGTAAATACAATAAAACCCTTTGCATAAATAATCTAAGTAGTTTGCCAACTCCTTGACTCTCCGTATCCGCCCGTCTCCAGCTGAGCTAAATGAAACGTTTTCAGACCTTAACATGTTACACTGCAGACCAGTCGGACTTGTTCCCCAACATGTTTTTATAGGGCGATGCAGTTAAATGCTGGTTACCATAGTGACAAACGCTCGTTGGCTCCAACAAAAGAGACACACACTGAGCAATGATAAACTGAATTTGATTAAAGTTAGTTACAAATTAAAAGTACAATGATGTATGGAGGATGGCAATAGTGAAAACTATGAGGATACATTTACATCAATACCTCAGACATCAGTATTTACTAGCAGGGTAAGAAGTACTCTGATCATTTATTGAAGTACAATACCACAATGTGGACATTTACAAGGAAAGATAACAAATACAATCTTTTAAAAAAGTTAAATATATTATAAAATTGGATTATAATTAGTGATGGATCAATGTGTAGAACATGTTATTATACTGCTTGGTAAATTACCCTGAGGTTTATTAAATCATAATTTAGTTTATTATTTTATTTTTGTAATATCTGTAAAGTAACAAACTAACTATCAACAATTAATGTATTGGATTGAAAGTGAATTAGGTCCAGCTGTAGTTTTGGTGTAGAGGTATAAATACAAAATATAAAAGAAACTCAAGTACAGTACCTAAATACATGCACCTTTTTCCTCTCCCTCTGTCATGGTCCTGTTTTGTGTTTTCTTTCAATACATATGCTGAATTAATGTGTGTAAGTTAATCATTGTTAATGTATTAATAATCACATTTAGGTTCAACAATATAATATCATATTGTTTTCATTTATTATTGTTGTGAAAAAGATCTCTAAGTTGTCGCCTATTTTCTTGGCTTGGTGATTTCCAATAAATAACACTGAACTGCACATCGGGTTCTTCTTCACTCAGTTTCTATTTGTATGGAATTCAGGACGATTCATAGTTTGATTATTTTTAAACAAACAATTTAAACTTTATTTAATGTTTTTTCCAACATACAAGACCTGATCTGATCTGCTGTCAACACTTTCATCTCTGAGATGGCTGCTCAGTTCAGACAGTCACCAGTAGAAGTACCCTGTGACGTCTGCACTGGAACCAGACTGAAGGCCCTGAAGTCCTGCATGGTGTGTCTGGAGTCCTACTGTGAGACTCACCTGGAGCCTCACCTGACAAGAGCAGGCCTGAAGAAACATGAGCTGATCGACCCTGAGGAGAACCTGGAAAGCAGGATGTGTGTGAAGCACGATAAACTGCTGGAGCTGTTCTGTAAGACCGACCAGGTGTGTGTCTGCATGCTCTGCACTGTTTCAGACCACAAGACACATGATGTTGTTCCTCTAAAAGAAGGATATGAAGGAAAGAAGGCTGAGCTGGGGAAGACAGAGGCTGAAATTCAGCAGATGATCCAGAAGAGACGACTGAAGATTCAGGAGATGAATCGCTCAGTGGAGCTCAGTAAGGAAGGAGCAGACAGAGAGATAGCAGATGGTGTTCAGGTCTTCACCGCTCTGAAGGACTCTGTTGAGAGAAGCCAGGCCGAGCTCATGGACACCATCAAAGAGAAGCAGAGAGAGACAGAGGAACAGGCTGAAGGCTTCATCAAAGAGCTGGAACAGGAAGTCTCTGAGCTGAAGAAGAGAAGCTCTGAGGTGGAGCAGCTCTCACGCTCTGAAGACCAGCTCCACCTCCTCCAAAGCTTCACGTCCCTGAACGCTGCTCCACCCACCAAGAACTGGACAGAAGTCAGGGTCCGTCCACCTTCAGAGGGGACTGTGAGGAGAGCTGTGACTCAGCTGGAGGAGACGCTCAGGAAACAGATGAAGAAGCTGCTTGAGGTGGAGCTGAAGAGGGTCCAGCAGTCTGAGGTGGAGGTGACTCTTGATCCTGATACAGCACATCCTGCCCTCATCCTGTCTGATGATGGAAAACAAGTGAAAGACAGTGATGTGATGAAGAATCTCCCAGACAATCCAGAGAGATTTGATATTTGTGTCAATGTCTTAGCAAAGCAGAGTTTCTCTTCAGGAAGATTTTATTACGAGGTTCAGGTTAAAGGGAAGACTGACTGGACTCTAGGAGTGGCCAGAGAGTCGATCAACAGGAAAGGAAAGATCACACTGTCTCCTCAGAAAGGTTACTGGACGATATGGTTGAGGAATGAAAATGAGTACTCAGCATGTGCTAGTCCTCCAGTCTGTCTCTCTCTGAAGTCTCAGCCTCAGAAGGTGGGGGTGTTTGTGGATTATGAGGAGGGTGTGGTCTCCTTTTATGATGTTGATGCTGCAGCTCTGATCTACTCCTTCACTGGCTGCTGCTTCAAAGAGAAACTCTACCCATACTTTTGTCCCTATCTTAATGATGGTGGTAAAAACTCTGCCTCTCTGATCATCTCTGCTGTCAATCACACTGAGTAGAACAACCATTTGATTTTCAACAGAAATATTTACTATCACCAAATGTAATATAATAATAATAATCCATTTTATTTATATAGCGCTTTTCACAACTCATAGACGCTTTACAGTATGAGGGTAGACAAACAAGGACAGGCAAACAAGTAAGTAAAAAATAAAAAGGCAGTCAAGAGGAAGTTGATTGAGAGGGGGGGGGCTTATGGGTAGACAGAGTTGAAAAGATGTGTTTTGAGGCGGGACTGAAAGACTGTGAGGAACTAAGAGTCACGGAGATCTTGGGGGAGGGAATTCCAGAGCCTAGGAGCTGACACTGAGAAGGCTCTGTCCCCAAAGCTGCAGAGTGTGGATGTGGGAATGGATAGGAGTCCGGCTGCGGTGGATCTGAGGGACCGTGGAGGTTGATAAGGAGTGAGAAGGTTTGTGAGATAAGGGGGGGCCAGATGGTGGAGTGCTTTGTAGGTGAGGACCAGCATTTTGTAGTTGATGCGATGGGAGACAGGAAGCCAGTGGAGGTCTTTGAGGACTGGGGTGATGTGATGCCATGATTTGGTATGCGTGAGGAGACGTGCAGCTGCATTTTGAACCCGTTGGAGTCTGTTGAGGGATGTAGTGCTGATGCCGTAAAGAAGTGAGTTGCAGTAGTCAAGGCAGGAGGAAATGAAGGCATGGATTAGTCGTTCGGCTGCGGGGCGGGTGAGAGAGGGTAGGATTTTTGCAATATTACGGAGGTGGAAAAATGAGGTTTTGACTGTTTGGCGGATGTGAGGTTCGAGGGTGAGGGTGGGGTCAAAGATTACGCCAAGGTTGCGGGCCTGATTGGAGGGGGAAACAATGGTGCCATCGATGGTGAGAGTTATGTTAGTGACCTTGCTGAGGGTGGATTTGGAGCCGATTAGGAGGAGTTCTGTTTTGTTGCTGTTCAGTTTGAGGAGGTTATGTTGCATCCAAGTTTTAATAGCTGTTAGACAGGAATCGATGTGGGTAAGGGGTGGGTCATGGAGGGATTTGGTGCTGAGGTAGATCTGAGTGTCATCAGCATAGCAGTGGAAGTCGAGGTTGAAGTGGCGGAGTATCTGACCGAGGGGGAGGATGTAAATGATGAAAAGGAGGGGGCCAAGTACTGATCCTTGAGGAACGCCTTGGGTGACTGAAGCTGTGGTAGAGGAATGGTTTGGGAGGGAGATGAAGTGGGATCGTTCAGTGAGGTAGGACTGGAGCCATCTGAGTGCAATACCTTCAATACCAATGTCCCTGAGTCGGGTGAGCAGGATGTTGTGGCTCACGGTATCGAAGGCTGCACTCAGGTCGAGGAGGATGAGAATATTGAGGGAACCAGTGTCAGCAGAGGTGAGGAGGTCATTGAGGACTTTGACGAGTGCAGTTTCTGTACTGTGGTGAGGACGAAATCCAGACTGAAGGGGTTCATAAAGCTGGTTGGTTTGGAGATGGCAGTGAATTTGTTTGGCTACAATGCGTTCAAGAGTTTTTGAGAGGAATGGTAGGTTGGAGATAGGGCGGTAATTAGTGAGGGAGGAGGGATCAAGACCAGGTTTTTTGAGGATTGGAGTAACGGCAGCAGTTTTGAAGGCAGAGGGGACGGTTCCATGGGACAGCGAGGAGTTGAAAAGGTTAGCAAGATAGGGGCAGAGGACGGGGAGGCAGGACTTCAGAAGAGGAGTGGGTAGAGGGTCAAGGGAGCAGGTTGTGGGATTTGAGGAACCGATCAGATGGAGTATTTCAAGTGGGGTCACCAGGTTGAACTGGGAGAGGCGGCGCTGGGGAGGAGTCAGGAGGTCGAGGGAGATGGGGGGAGAAATGGTAGTGGTGGAGGTTGCGGGAGATGCTTGTATATCAGATGGAGCTGAGAAGGAGTGGTTAATGGCGTTCATTTTGTCTGCGAAAAACTGGAGGAATGAGCTGCAAGTAGCGGAAGTAGAAGTAGGGAGGTTATCAGCACGGAGTTTGAAAAGCTTGTTAACTGTGGAGAAGAGGGTCCTGGGGTTACGGGAGGGGTCAATGAAGATGTTGGAGAGGTAGGCAGATTTAGCGGCAATAAGAGCATCAATATACTGCATGTATATCATTGGGGAAGTGAATTGTATATATTTTTGATGTTTTAGCTTCTGATTCTGTAATTTTGAACCAGAATAATTAACTTAGTCCTTGAATGTATGGGTGTTAATCTCCAAACTTTGTAATAGCACCTAATCATAAATAGGAAGTGTTTCATAATGGCACAATTTACTGGGAAAACACATGCGCCCTTTACTCATTAAAAACGCCAACAATATGTTTTTTAAACAAAAGGATTATTAGTTTTAAATACTGTAATTTAGGGGAACCTGTAAGAGATTGTTATCTGGTCTATGTCATGGCAAATTTAAGAATTTTTTTTCTTGATTTATATTGGTACCCTTTTTTTGGAACAATCTGATTGTATAATATTCAGCTGCAGTGGTTTTCTGGTCTCAATCTGTTATGTTATTTTCATTTCATGTTGTCCAACTCTCTCCAGACTATTTGTATAGTTTAAACAAATCCTCAATTAAATAAAAAGCTAATTAAATTCTGTCTTCATTGTTTTGTTTAGCTCTCAAGTAATTTAAAAATACCTCAAATCAATAAAGAAAGGTGAAAACGTGAAGGAACTTTAGTCAATTTTAAATATGGGTAAAGCTAATAACATTCAAAGCTGGAAAAACTTGTAAAGAAGTCTTCAGTACAGGCAGTTTAACCCTTTAATTACTTTTTTCTAAAGTTTCTAGGTTGAAATTACCAATATATTGCCCATTTATATATTATCAAACCGATATTTCATCTATACCACCCCCATATAACACTGTTATTACACCATTAGTTCACCCACATTACATACATATAACATCAATATTACACAGCCTGTCGAATGACTGTATCCCACAAGATACAGGAACCAACCAAGAGGCCTTATTATTATATTGCATGTGCCATCCGACCTCTGCAGCTCATCCAGAATGCAGCGGCTCGTCTGGTTTTCAACCTTCCTAAATTCTCCCACACCACTCCGCTCCTCCGCTCCCTTCACTGGCTTCCGGTAACTGCTAGAATCCACTTCAAGACACTGGTACTTGCTTACCATGCTGCGAATGGATCTGGCCCTTCCTACATCCAGGACATGGTTAAACCGTACACCCCAGCGCGTGCACTACGCTCTGCATCAGCCAAACGACTCGGCGAAAACACGTGGGTTTGCTATCCTGGCTCCAAGATGGTGGAATGAGCTCCCCATTGACATCAGGACGGCAGATAGCTTGCACATCTTCCGGCGCAAACTGAAAACTCATCTCTTTCGACTCCACTTCGAGCGTTAGAACGATTAACGAAGCACTTTTATACCAATAAAGGACTGGATTACCTAAAGCCAGTTGAGTAGCACTTGAAATGTTTGGCTCTATGAAACCTGATGTACTTATATGATTCTGTTTTCTTCAAGGTTGTGTCTTCCTGGTTGAATGTACTTATTGTAAGTCGCTTTGGACAAAAGTGTCAGCTAAATGCAATGTAATGTAATGTAATGTATTATGCTTTTTGGACTTTTCCCTTTCCTGTAGTGTGTTATATCATTTGTAGTGCATGTAATAGGTCTGCAAAGTCTAAAATCCCTGTTTTCCCTCCAGAGGGAGTTTCTCTCCCACAAACTCCCCCTCATCTGAAACACCTCAATTGGACTCCTTTGATTACTTTCAGAACATAGTTACATCACTATGACATCAGGAATGACTCAAATAAAGGTCTTGCCATGATTTATCTCTGAACCCCAGATTCAAAACTGTGTTGTGCTCGGTCAAAGACCACAAAAGAGTTGGGGTTTTCTCACCTCAGACACGCTCTGCCTCGTCCTTCTTCTAGATAAATCACTGGTCCAAACTTTTGATGTCGCATCCATCTTCCTCCGGCCAGTGGACTCTGTGGTCGATCTCTGCTGATAACGCAGAATCACAGAAGGTCTTAATAAGCACAGGCGGTGATGGAGACAGCTGCTGAGTCTTCTATAGATGGACAAGACGGCAGAGAATGAGGGCTGGACACAGTTAGTTATCTTTAATACAGCATTAACAGTTTGTCATTATTACAGATAATGAAAGTTGCTGTGACAAATGAAGGACGTCCTGTAACACCTGAACCACCTCCACAACCAATCTGTTGTTTGCAGAGGTGGAAAGTTAGGGTTAGGGTTAGTACAATGTTTGAGGTTCCTGTAGTTTACTTCAGATAATACAACATGTAATCAACAAACAGTTTGTCATGTAATATTTAAGGAATAGCTCACGACAGGCCGTGGTATATGCTCATTATATCACAGCTAAGAGGCGTGGTTCGGCCCGACGCGAAGCGGAGGGTCGACAACCCCCTTAGCTGTTATATAATGAGCATATATCACGGCCTGAAGTGAGCTATTGCTTTTATAAAACGGTTACCAAGTGTGGCAATATGAAAGAAAAGTACACACTCTAATTTAAATAATTTGTATTAGTAAATAATGATGTTCAAAATAAAATAGTCCCTCCGTTGCCTTCTGCACGAAACATAGTGCGAAGTGGTTGCTATGCAACAACAGCTAGCGAACATATTAGACAGAGAGCGTTGATCCATTATTTGGCTATTTATTTACATTCATGTGTTTGTTGCCGTTTATTGTGCAGCCACTGAAAACCTGTCCAGTATCAGTAGCATGCTTACGTGGTTACTTGTAGGTTGAGGTTGTTCTAGGCTGCTGCTTGGCGTGGTCAGAATATTGCTCCACTTTCTCCGGTCCCCGAGATTGGGCTTCCACTAGCTCTGGAGAGAGCTTTCGCACCTGTGGCCACGAACGGTCATCATTTCTCTGCTTTGTTTCAAGACCCGCATCAGAAAGCTTTTGAATGGTGGCACTTCTCCAGTTGGTCTACCTGCTCTTCACGTAGCTCTGCATGTCGTCGTTTAGGTGCTTTTTTTTTTCTGGAGATAAGCACTGCTCAATC